GTGTGATTTGCTTTCTTCTGTAAAAGAAGATATTCTGAAGACACTGGAGTTCAAACAACATTGGACCACACTGACTTTCATTATATGACAGGCATTTCTCAAAATATCTTCTTTTACAGAAAAAGAAAGTCAAACATGTTGACATTAGGAGAGTAAATGATGACAGAATGATTCACTGATCATATTAGATCACCTGAACGATCATGTTTGGATGAGCTAACTAACAGCAGCTAACCATTTCAGGACTACGATGGGTAAGTTAGTAGTGGGTTATTCAGTTCTCACCATGGCTGGATCATCATTGCTAAAGGCTTGTAGTTACTGCTGTGATGTAATAATTATGTAGAATCATTAAAGGTCATGTGACTGATAATTCATTTAATGATTTTAATGGTTTAGTGGTCTGTGTGTGTGTGTGTGTGTGTGTGTGAATATCATTCTATGTAAATGTGTGTGTGTTAGGGATGTGCATCTCATGACTCAGGCCGATGCGATACGATACATTAAAGATACATATGAAGCAGCTGCCGATGCGATGCGATATGATTCACTCGTATTACGATGCAGTGTGATCTGATTTCGATTCAATTCAACACAATGTGATTTAATGCAATATGATGCAATGGAAAAACATATGATGCTATACAATTCAATATTGTACAGACAGTTCATTTTTATTTCTTTGGAGAGGAGAAAGCAATCTACATATAAAATATTGGTCACATATTACTGGTCACTTTCCAATTAATAAAAGTATAGCGCATCTACTAATAATTATACATAAGTTTTTACAAATGCAAATATGCTAGAAACGATGCATCGTGTTACAAATGCCAACTTGAATCTGATGCACACTTTTTTAAATTGATGCATCGTATCGTGAACTTTTATGCCGATGCGAGAAACAGCTTCACACAAGCTTTCACGATCAACACTACACTGCAATGTAATGAACATTAAACTCTCCTAAAACACACTAATCACACACACTAATCACAGCACATACAAACACATTCCTCTCATGAAGAATCGTGACACATGTTTGACTGACTTAAAGCCAAAGGCTTCAGAGAGCAGGTGGATTCTGGATATTTCTGGGCGTCTCATCTACAAATAAAAATAATAAAACAACATGTTCTAGTCCAGTGTTTGGACACATTTGATTGAACTGTTGTAGAAATGGTCTTTAGATCTTTAGACTGAAGTTCAGGTAAATATCAGTTGTGCTCATGCATTTAGAACAACAGACTCTTCATTATTTGTTTTTTATTGTACTGGCCAGTGAAGGAGAATCATGAAGTGAGTTTGTGTTTCTCCTGCAGCGCGAGAACGAGCGCCGACGCCTGACGATGAGCATCGCACGTTTGCGTAACGATGATTGCAGCGCGGCTTTCCCAGACACCTCCGGGCCTCTGAACACAGCCGGAGCGCTGGGAACTTTATTGTGCTTCACTAAAGCCCTAAATTTACGCTCTACAAATTCCTTCTGTTTAAGTAAATATCATAAAGGCAGCAGGAATATCAGCAGAGGCGTCTGCTCAGCATCAGCGCACTATAAATCTGACGGCCGTTTCCTGCGACTGAAGAAAACACAAGCAAGGTGTCTGCCGTCTGATTCATGATGCGCGCCGAGCGTTCGTCTCGTCCCTCAGACCTCGCCGTCTCTCCAGAGCTCAGCGCTGCAGATCAGCTCCATTAGTGCTGCGTCACGTCACATGTTCATCCTGACGGCTCTGTGTGAACCATTACCATGCAAACCGTGTGTGTGTGTGTGAGTGTGAGTGTGTTTGTGTGTGTGTGTGTGTGTGAGTGTGTGTGAATGAGTGAGTGAGTGAGTGAGTGAGTGTGTGTGTGTGTGTGTGTGTGTGTCAGCTACATGAAACGCCGGCGGCTAACGAATGAGAGGCGTGAATGAATGAATCTGCGCTGAGGTCAGAGGTCAGCGGTTACTGACCCCACACAGGGACGAACTCTTCAAAGGATTCAGTGATTGGCACGAGATCAGAAACAACACTCGCTGATCTTCTATGAATTCATCACTCACTGTATTTCATTCTGGTCTGATCATAATAACTGTTTCCATCCAAAGCTGCAAATTTCACTACATTTAGCACATTTTCCATTCCATGTGTTTCATGAGAACAACACTGTCACTTCCTGAGAAACTGGTGCACATTTCTGCAAGTTTTATGAAGGTAAATTTAAGAAATTTTTATGACCTTTTTAAGACCAATGAAAGAAAATGTAAGTAACAAGCTGTAGGGAACGCAAAACATAAACTAAATGTAAATATCCAGGAAACGCAATGAGTTGAATTAGCAACACTTTTAAGATTACAAATACAACTTCCAACAGATCTCCATTACATTTTAATAAAAAAACTTCTGCTCTGATTTAAGCCATTTTAAGGCTTTAAGTTGTGGAAGGGTGAATTAAGATTTTTTAAGACTCACAGAAATCCTGAAAAATGAAGCTGCTGCACGTCTTCTACTTGGATGAAAAATTATCCACCTCAACTGAGCTTTTTTACGTCCGTTTTATGATTTTATATGCATCTTGCCTTTTCAATGCAGCGATTTTTATGCAATATCCCAAAACGCACATAATAAGTGGACAGAAACACATCTACTGTCTGTTTTTCAGAAGCTCATCATGACATGTAACTAAACTGAGGAATAAAGTGTGAGGCAGGAGTGTTTGTGGCACAGGAATCATGACTCCTGGAGGAAATCCTGCTCTGATCCCACAGGGAAAACCAAATAAATGAGGAAAAGTGTTGCACTCTCCTCTCAAACATTAGTCTCCGTACGGCAGATAATCCTGCTTAACTGAGCACTTCAAGAGTTTAAGAGCAGACACACAAACAAACTCAGCTCTGGCTTTCACGCTGTCTCTGTTAAACACGGAAACACTGTTCCACCAGCCTCAGATACTGACTTTAAACGCATTAAAGATTTACTAAACAGATCAATTACAGCGAGAGCACCGTGTCATAAAAGCACCGATGGGAGTGTGAAGTTATGCTGATCTACTGACGCTGAATATTTCCATAATGACCGACGCGATCAATCCAGAGCAGTGCAAATCTACAACTACAGGCAGCAACTAAATACCAGTAAACTGACTAGTGCACAGCTTACTAAATCACTGATTCATATGCTCTCCTCACATAAATGTTGCATCTGAAAGGGAAACTTTTTTGTTGCAATTGTGATGCAAAATCATACTATATTATCACTCAGCTCTTTATTTAAAGTTGCATATGAAATTATGTCCTTCATCTGCATACATACAATACACTCATGTCAACTGATATGTACTACACAGCAAATCTCAACTGCTTGATTGTTTATATTCTCGCAAAATGTACCTAATCTGATCTGATAAATGCAACTATGAAGATATTAAGGTGTTATAAGCATGAACATCATGATGTTCTGCTATGAAAACTATGTGTATTGTGAAAAGCGCTGGACGCCTGCTGCTTGACGTCTGATGCAGAGCTGCTCAAACCTCCTCGTGTTCCTCAGTCAGCATCCCACAATGCCGTGCGCTGAGCCGTCTAGCTATCTCTGTGCCGCTGTGGAGCAGACTGATGGATAATCTGAGCTTCACCGCAGGACCCAGGATAAGAGCGCGTCTGATAAAGCTCTGTTAGCCAGCTCATTACACCGCTAGCAGACTATCATCAGGGAGTCTGGGGACCACAGGCAAGCCGCTGCTTCCTCAATATACAGCTCGTTCAGGATGCGCTTCAGGACTCCAGGGGTTTGAGTCTGACTGCTGAGCCGCAGGCCTGTCTGCACACGTGTTCATAACACCTCACACACACACACACACACACGACTGTGACAGCATCAGATTCCTCAGGATAAAAACCACTCGCTTCAGTCAGGATCGCACAGAAGGCACACTTGAGAGTCATGAGTGTGTGTCTGAATTAGTCACAGCACACAGGAAGTTGAAGTGGAACGACAGGAAGAGAGAAATTTGCTAAACTGTAATTCAAAGTAATTCACGACAGATAAATAATTCTGGGAATTTAAGTGTTCTCCCAGCCTGATTCAAAAACCTTCATTTATTAAGTCCGTCCGTCCGTCCGTCCGTCCGTCTGTCTATCTATCTAGCTGTCTGTCTGTCTGCAGGGCTCTATGCTTATTTTTCTTTTTAGGAGCGCTTGTGCTCCTAACTTAAAAATGTAGGAGCACCAAAATTTGATAAAAATAGCCTTCCCATAACGAGGTGATATTTGACTCCTTAAAGCGATTTACAGTAGAATTTTGTTTTTACCTTTGTAATGGCATTTTTCTATCTTTATTAAAAGTATGTAATCTTTTGTCAAATT